AAAAAAAAAAAAAATACTAAACAGCACAACTGTTTTAAACATTGATGAAAGAATGAGCACCAAATCAGCATTAGAAGGATCACGTGAAAACCACAATGCACAACGGCCAAATATGTCCATCTGATATGTGTACAACATAAAACAAGATTTAAAAATTAGCATATAAGGGCTTTTCAGTTTATTTCAGTTTCAATATTTTGTTCCTCCATGTGCCTCTCATATAGCTTCTATGCCAGCATTGTAAGGAGGACAGGATATCTGCTCATATCACATATTTATACCAAATCTACACAGAATATTTGTATTTCAAATAATTTTAAACATAGTAAGTAAATGATGTAAACAATAAAAATGTTCATTTTTCGATGAGCTCGTTGATTATAAGAGGAGATGATAAATGCATTGCGCAATCCTGATAGTATTAAGAACAATATTATCACCTGAACATGCCTAAACATTAAGATACGACCATTAACCATTAACGACCATTATGCTTCAATTTCAGGCAACACAAGCAAGACTAGATGAAGGACGACTGTATCGCCGCCTATAGGTTTTTAATGAAGTTACCTGGAATAGTGTTTAAATATACTACATGCGTTTGGCTGGATTTCTAAATCTAATCTAACTAACTACTTATCTATTTTGGGATTCAGACACACCTATAATGCCAACAAAATACTAACGTTTCCTGTAGGCACCTGTTTTTAAAAAAACGGCCTACTGGGCGCTATGCGTCAAAGAATGAAGTCTAACTGGAAATGCAACCCTGAAGACACACCAGCTGCGCGACAACACTGCTTTCAGCTTTAATCTGGTATTGATTAGTTAAAACCTTTTGACAGGAAACATGCTGTGCTTAGTAATAAAATTACGCCAAATAGACGTTCGTTTTAACGAAGCAGTCAGTTTATTTGTTTTAATGAGCAAAGCTGTAGCTGTATCTAGCAGTGACAGACACGCTCACTGAAAACATTGAGTGACAGCATTAGCATTGACGCTAACACAAACACGCAGCTCTTTCTCACGCACCGCCACACAAACACTCACCTCCATAATGTCGAGAAGCCGTGTGGAACACAGTGAGAAGGACGACGGCGGCGACAGACAGCAGTTTTGCATTTTTGATGCTGAAATATTGATTTATTTCCCGTTTGCCTAGGTTATAGGCCAGGACCGCCATCTTGGCTCCTCCATGACAACAGGCAGACAGACGAGCTGCGGCGAAGCGGACGAAGTCAGATCCGAGCGGCGCGTGCCCGCTTCCCGCTTGTGCCTCAGCTTCTGCTGTCGCGAGCAGAACAGGTTGGCTGGAGTCCGGCTGCGCTCCTTGTGCTGCGGTTGCTTCAGCTGTCATATCAACATCAAGTTTTACTTTCTTTCGCCTTCCAACTCTTTAAAGAATTATCACCGACTTACCCAAACTACTTACTACAAACGTCCAACGTTACGTTTTTTTAGTGTCCTGCCCACTTGTTAAACTGGAGGAAAGCAAATCTTGTTAATCCTTGAATTTTTTCCCTCTATTTACTGAACCGCCACATCCAATATATATATTTGTTTGGTCAAGACACGCAGCCGTTTAAATGCTTTGTTGAATTAAGTTACACATGCCTTTCCGCAACAATTAACACATTGCGTAGAGTTCACTTGGTATCTTGCACATCAGGTTGTTCTGGTTGGGACTAAACAAGTTAGTTATGTAAGAACAGTGCCAAACAGTCTCCGAGCGTATGAGAAATTACTCTCTCTAGAGAGAGAGGATATATACAAACAAACAGGATTAACCACCACCCTAACTGACATTCTTTTCATGATACTAACCAGGGCCCGTATTCACAAAACATTTTATCTTACCACTAAGAGTGGATGATGTCAGCATGTTTACTAACTATGCACACAGTGATTGGCTGATAGTCTCAGTCAGAGATTTATTCATGGAAATATTGTTGAGCACGATATTATGTTGCCATATTCAGATAAAGGTTTAAAAAAAAATGCACATTCAAATAAAGATTTTAAAATGCAGGCTAAGTGTCACTAATTAAACAAGTATATATCAGTTAATTGCCAGCCTCTTACATGTGTGCTCCTCGTAAATGTGCGTATATGCATATAAACAGCCTTTTAATTAACAGAGTAGAATAATCATGGCTGATAGTAAGGCGTGTAAACGTAAAAGAAACCAAACTGGACGCAAGAACAGCTGTTACTTCTTGCCCAACTTGTTAATGAAAACAACAGTCATAATACCCTTATGATTAAGGCGATACCTTTTTAAAAGCTCATTATCGTCAAACTTTTCTAAAATGTTTCTGTTTTAGAAAAAAAACAGCCATTTTAGGATAGTTTGATAGTTTTAGGATGACTTGGTCTTAGTGATTTAGGAGTCCTCTTCACTACTCCTAACGTTTCACAGATTTAGGAGCAGGGGTGCCAAACTCAATTCCTGGAGGGCCGGAGCCCTGCAGAGTTTTGTTCCAGCCCTGCTCCAACACACAAACCATGTAGTTTTCATTCACTCCTTCAGTGGACTATGGACACTTCTCAAATAAAAGGAGGCATCCAAGTGAGAATGCATCCTTCCTAGTCCAGTCCTTCTGAGGTTTTAAGCTCAGCATTAAACACTAAAATGAGACGGTCTAGTAAGTGCGCATGGTTTCGTCATAGGCCTAAATGTTTTCACCTTTGCGGTCACGGCACAAAATTACTATTAAAATTGTAATTTGAAGAATACTTTATATTAAACATGTTCATATTGACATTTTTCTATTAATGCGGTACAGGTAAAGACAACCATCTGTGGTCTGCCATGGATGCAAAGGATTGTAGGTGACACACAAAGGATACACCTGATGCATCCTTCAAAACAGGCTGAATGAAGAATGCAAAATGAAGGCCCTCTCCCAAATGGCCTCAAGCTCTTATCCCGTCCTCTTTCGCCGCTTCCATATTTTTTCAGCACACATAAAAACTACAACTGCCAAAGTGTGATTCATCATGCTCTTTTTGTTTACCACTAGCGCATGCTGTTGACGTTTTATTCTTCTATAGCAGGGGTGTCAAACTCAATTCCTGGAGGGCCGGAGCCCTGCAGAGTTTAGATTCAACACTAATTAAACACACCTGATCCAACTAATCAATTCCTTCAGGCTTAGTTGAAAACCAGTGAGCACCAGAAGTGTTGCAGACGCCATCTTCTGGCCAGACGATTGAATCTCAATGACTCACTCATTAACAGTGACTTGCTGCCACCTACTGGCTGTTTAAATTTCACGTCAACTATTTTTTCATGTTTTAAATCATTTCAAATATTATTTAACGTTTTATGTTTAAAACAAAGCATTATTTATGCATTTGTAACTGCATGTTAAATACATCCATGTCCTCTCTGAGCTACATTAAACTGTGTAAATGCATCGAAATGCCACTTCACATGCTGAGTCCATGTTTTCTTATGTGGGAATGAAAGAGACTAATTACCGGATGAAGTGCATTTTATGCTTACCCAATGATATAAAATGGAAGAAAGAATTCAAACTGAATACAATCTTGCTGCTAAAATTGTGTATAAATATTTTTAAATATGTATGTGCTCCTTTTCCATTTTGCATTTACTTGTAGTTTTACTTTCAATACTCAAGTACATTAAATAGCCTATTAAAAATACTTTTCATACTTAAGTACAATAAATATCACATACTTTAAAACTTTTACTCAAGTAATATTCTGAACAGTGATTTCAACTTCTACCAAAGTGATTTTCTGGTAAGCTATCTGTACTTTTACTTGAGTGTGGCTTTTAGGTACTTCATCCACCACTGGTTAGGAGTGAGGAGCTGGGGTGGAGGAGGGATGCCAGAAAAACTGTCATGGTACAGAGGTAGGATGGCTGTATATTTACTATCATGGTAATTAGGTTGATTATCTCCATTAGGTAAAGGGGAAATTAAAATTATTACTAAGAGGAATGTTACAAGAGAATTGCAAGGAGTGTGGAATTTAGATTATAAGGGAAGACATTTATATAAAATCAAAAAGCAGGTAGATACTAAAATGACTGTAAGAGGAAGGAATAGGAAGGAAGAGGAGATAATAGCTAGATTAAGACTGGGTCATTCAGGGCTGAATGGTTCATTGTTTTTAATTGGTGTACATGTTAACGGCTTATGTGAATTTTGTGGTGAGAAAGAAATAATTGAGCATGCAATACATGAATGT